ATTAATGTTGCGATTTATACGGCTATTAATAGTAAGTGACTGGGTTATTTTCATTTTAAATAGGACGCTAACTATTATAACTATTTACGCCAAAACTGACAAAACATTAAATTATAAAAATTAATTTTGGCAAAACTTTACTGTATGACAGACTTTCATAATATTACTGAACGCGACCTGGCTAATAGTACAATACTTGTCGATAGGATTAACAAATTGCAAAATCCGCCAAATTGTCGGTTAGCAAGCAAATTTGTTTGCATATTAGAGATTACATGCGGGTTTGGGTGTACCATGCACCACTACGCCTATTGCCTAATATTAGCACTCAAACTGAACCAGACACTTATTATCCCGGACACCATCCACAATACGTACACTTCACACATGAATAGGCTTTTCCTACCCATAAGTGACACGTGTTTGGACCCACACGGAGACACCGGCGTCGTGTGGGAAGGGATGACAGGCCGGACACCCGATTATAAAAATGTGATTGACTTTTACTTTATGGAGAATTCCGAGGTGTATGCCCTAATCAACCGACAATTGCCATCCCTGTCCGCTGAACCCATGGCTCTATTCATTGGACACATAATCCGGTATTTAATGCGTCCGACGCTAGAGTTGAGCCGATATTACGCTAATTATAAGCAAACGATTCAATGGAAACAGCCTATCGTTGGCCTACATGTGCGACGGACTGACAAATTGGTAAAAGAGGCTAAATATCACTCAATGGATGAGTACATGGCATACGTGGACCGGTATTACGATAGTCTGGATAAGACTTCTGGCGATAAGCGTCACAAAAGACTCGTGTATTTGGCGACCGATGAGCCAAACGTATGGCTCAACGAATTGAGTGCTTATATCGAGAGACGGGTTGAGTTCACGGGTGACCCCCACGTGTCTCGCAAAGCATTTGGTAGGATCAGGGACAGTTATGAACCCATACGCGACTTAATTGTCGAGGTAATGGTGTTAATTGAATGCGATTACATTGTCTGCACCTTCAGCTCAAATATCTGTCAATTGGTGTTTGAGTTACGGATGAGTCGTATAAACAATTCATTAGCCGTTCACTCATTGGATTTTGAATATTACTATCATCCGTGATATCTGTGTCTTAATGTGTTTTTCACATGTATTGACAAATAATTATTTCATTATAACATATAAATATTATATACAGTAATTGTGATTAAATTAATTTCAACTTTTCCACTATGTAATTTATTGTAAAGGTTATTGCACAATAATGAAATTATTATTTTTATTATAATAATTGTACCCGTGTATTTATGAAATTAATGAATTTTGTGATGAATTTCATAAATTAATTTAAATAAAACTTATCTTTATGAAAAATGCTTTTAGTATAACAACGCGTTAATTAAATATAATTATTATAATTAATTCGTATTTGAATTAATAGTGATAAACGATAAAACAAATATAAGCATAATTTATGTCTCAATATTTTCTATCAAGATAATTTTATGATTAATTCTTTGCTACAAACATAACCACAAAAATAATTTATTTTAAAAACTATACGTAAAAGTGGAGACAAATTGAGAAAAAATAAATTTATTACACAAATATTATACCACTGGAAATAATATACCAATTTTACCATGCTAATTAATTAGCACACAGAGATTATAAATTATTTTTAAAAATGAACTTCTACGCTATTTGGAATATAATATTTAAATACAAAACAGTATAATTTTATATTGATATACTCCAGTACATTATACCAAATTACTATATGAATTGATTACTTGACACGTTTATGAATTACGACACCTTGATATTTTATCCAAAATAAGTTTATATTCAGCAAAGTATTCAGAAATCTAGTTATATTAAAATCACACATATATAAAAGTACTGCCTTAATTTACTAATTATTTATCAATCTTGTCGTAATAATGATAACTGTCACCGGTATAATTGGCGTGTTTTTAGGTGGGTAACATAATATTTGCTCAATATATATACATTGCTTTCATATTCCTAAACGCATTTTGCTCGAGCATCTATTATACAAAAATTAATTGAAAAACTATTGCTCATTCAAAATGAGCCGGGCTAATTGAATGACTCGGGAACATTCATTTAGTACAGCAGGCGCAATTAAAATTTTAACATTATTGCAATACAGTAAATTATATTAACCCACACACCCTTCCCATATAATGCGTACGTACTTTACGAATGGCTTTCACAGGGATACTATGCGCCCTCTGGGGGCCGTCTCTATGCGACGCGAGTCACACGCGGGCCGTACACTACGACAACGTGTCGATCGCCGGGTGCGGACTCTCACGTCGTCCCCACCTGTTGGACGACAAGTGCTTCGTATACCACACGAGCGACAGGTTCGCCGCCGACATCCAAAACGGTCGCATGGATGGGGAGGTGCCCTGGACTGCCCTCGTTTTAGTCACAGTCGGATCTAGGTAATATATTTAATATACTGTAATAATACAATGCATTTCAACTTTAATACGACAATACAATACTAATTATGCGATGATTAACGACTTACGAAGCCTGGTTTATTAAAGCCTCCAAAAAAACAATGCAGATAATTATAAACTCATTTTGAAAATAATTTATTTAATTTAGAACATATTTAATATGCAAAATAATTACACTGTTGTCCCTAAACATCGATACAATGTGAGGGGCTATATCTGAGAAAACAAAACCAATTGGGGGTCGGAAAAGCTTTAACCTTTAATCTTTACATATAAATAATCTTAAAGATTAAAGATTTTTCCTGATACACACTTGGCTTTGATCTCTCAGATATAATTTGTCCAGATTCTATTTGCGAGAAAACTTTTAATTTAATTTATTATTTGTCATAATAGTTTTCTATGCCATCATTTCTCGAAATAAAAACTAATCAATTGTTAAATAAATGATTCTTAAACACGTTCATATTGTAATTACAGCATTCGGTTAGCAGTGTCATTTTAAATAAGCAATGGATCTTATCGGCCGGACACGGATTTTGGTACGTATTTATAAGAATTAAAATGTTTAAGGTTATCATATATGTGTGAGTTGCAGCAAAAAACAGTTATGTTTTTATACATTAAGACTGTAATTCATAGCATATATTCACAACACATTCAATGAAGTATTGCAAAAAAATTGTGCTATGAATTACAGTCTTAATTTGAAAAAACATAACTGTTTTTTGCTGCAACTCACACATATACAGTTTAAATATAGTCTAGCTATACTAACATAGAATTAATAAATTAACATGTGTACATATATCTGAAAAAACAATACGAACTTAATATAGCAAAATACTCTTTAATTTTACTTTTACATGTAGGCAATTTTAAAGATTACATTAAAGATTTTTCTAGACTCATTTCGTATTGCTTTCTCAGATATTATGATACAATTGGTGCCAGTTGTATTATTTCCAATTGACCACTAAAAGTGAATTATGCCAATAATATTGTGATAAAGAATTGCTAATAACTTATAAGGCGTAATTCACTAAGTACGTATACACTTGTAGGGGGAGGGGTGGTCATACCAACAGCGTTTCCTAGCTTACATATTTATAAAATATCTCTAAATTTTAAGTTAATATTCTAAGTATATACTTTTTATTGAGACAAAATAATATCTTAGCGTTAGCTTGTATTAATCTTAAAATATTTTATATATTAATTTTTTATAATAATCGAATCTTTTTTATTAACGCATCTAGGCAACCTCGTAACAATGTAACAAATGTAACAGGTATAACGGTATATATAGGTGCGAATTTGTCGCAACTAAATGGGTGGTACGCGGGGGAAGCCTACTTCGTATACCCGCCTTTTAAAACAGACATGTGGGCCATGGATGATTTGGCCCTGGTAAAATTGGAATATCCCGGTATAGACGTGGATACGAACGACACGCTTGGCTATCGTACGGCGAACGCCATATGTCTGCCGGAAAATAACTCCTTAAACACGGCCTATGAGTACGCGTTTGTCAGCGGTTACGGCTATATCGACGTCAACGGCGGCGATACTGAAGGGCTACGTATGGGCGGTGTTCGCGTCAAACCCCCCAAAGCTTGACTCGCACCCCAAGATGCGCTACCGCGAGCTCCTGTCCCTTGAACAAGGGGACATCGGTGTGTCATGTAGGTTTTATACAAATGTATGAAGTTTTTAATACATGCCAGTCAAAAAAAATTACCGTAAATGTACTTAATACAATTATAATTATGCAGTCGAATAAGTTCGATTAAATTCGCATAAATTATATTGCCCATAATTTTAGTTATTGGATAACACTGTTTTAGAATGATTCATACATTTGTATTTATTATAATATCATTACCGTAGTAGTCAAAGCAATTTACCTATTGTTTTGTGCAAATTGTAATTTGTGCCAGGGCGATTCCGGGGGTCCCGTGTTTCAGTACGCAAATGGTGTGGCCGTATTAATCGGAATATTAACAAATGCTGCCGGCAATTACTGCCCGGGTGCTAATATGCATTTTCGAATGTTGGCCAATCGCGTATCGTATCATATCGATTGGATCACCACCACTATTCGCAGCAATTAATTGAATCTGGCTCATAAATTGAGTTGCTAAAGTTGCTAGTATTCTCGCACTATTACTAAACTAGTTTTTAATTTGTAATAGCCTGATACAAAAATGATTAAATAATTTATTTTAAAATTATATATTGGTACTAATTATGTATAATTTACAAATTTTACAAAACATTTATTAATTTTTATAAATATTTGTGATTTAATGTTCTACAATTATGCTCAATACACTTTTATAATTGTAAAATGATTTCACTGTGAATAAATATAAATTTTTAAAATTATTAACATACTGTATGCAATAATTTAAGTTTACAAGTTAGTTATTATACATTAATTAAAATAATTTCATCATATAGCTTTTACCCTCATTCTCATGTGTACGTATATAATGAATGGCCCCCTTAATAGGAGTCCCCATTGCTGGCAAACTCATACATACTGTCCAACACCTGCAACCGGGTTTCACGATCACCCGTGTCGTACAAGTCGTCATATAACAGCCATAGGAATCGGTACTGATCTGAGCCGGAAATACATCCCTCCCCCTCTAATCCGAAGATTTTTGTGCCTTGTTGAATAAATGTGATCAAGGACATATGAATAAAACTGTTAACTTGTAATTTCATAAATTACATTATTCAGATTAAAGCGTAAACTATCTCAGATTAATTATAAGGTTAAAAGTAATAGCATTTAAAATATGAGTATGCTTACCTATCACCTACATAATAATACTTTATAAAATTATAATTATTTAAATTATCGCTACTGACCTCGGTCACCTAGATCGTGAGGTTTATTTTTCTCAATAACCCTAGGTGTAATATCCGGTTTGGTATTAGCATCATCAAAAGGGCTAGCTCACACAATTTGAGTAACAGGTTGTTTAGGCTTGTTTGCAGTAAGTTTTGCACCAGTGTCCATAAGGTGAACATGCCCCTTTACAAGTGGCCATAATGAATCATGTGCCTCGTGGTGGGAATTGCCATGTATCGATTTGTTTTGAGCTTGATAAAAATCTTTCTTTGTTTTATCAAGCGAAGCACAAATGTCTAAAAACGATCTAGTTTGAGTAGTCATTTTACGTAGGTAATCTATGTTGGCAAATAATATTGATATCATATACAGTATAAATAAAAACTTACTATGTAATTTTCATATTAACATACCTTACTTAAAAAACATTTTAAATAATATGAATTTTTATAAATAACATTAATTTCGATTTACCATATGACTGACGATATACCATACGAATGACCATAACCCAGTAGCCGTGAAACTGACCTTGTTCTAAACAACTATTAAAATAAAAATTATTAAATTGTCAAGTATTAGTAAAATAATTTATACATATAATAATGCAATATTTAATAAAATTTCATAATGACACTGTAATATAAACAAATTGTGATACATTAGATTTACTATAGTTATGGTTACTATAGTACACAAATGATAATTTATAGCGCATTGTGTAAACACTTATAAAAGTAAAATTGTTTTAATTAATTTATTAACCATGTATCTCTGCTTTTGTTTATAACTACCCTAAATTTTTAGTAAAATTGAACATTGTTCAGTTAATATTTTACTATTAATTTGCTTTAACTGAATATTGGTTAATATTAAAAAATTTTCTTAATTAAGTTTAATTTTTATTTTAAACATAAATATTTAAAATTTATTTTTGTTTCAGTCTGAAATTTTTTATTAATGCAAATAAATTATTCATATGGTTTATTGCCAGTTTAACATATGGCATATTAAAGTACAATTGTATTCAATAGTGCTGATTATATTGAATAAATTAATTATATTAATTAAAAACATATTCAAATATATTCATTTTGCAAATTAATTGACCAAAATATTGCATTTTAAGCATCATTTTAACAAAATAAATATATTACTAAATAAAATGTTCCCGCTATTTAAGTATTTATGTATAACTAGCAGTTAATTATTCAAAGTATTGTTTAACAAAAAAATGAATAGCAAATAATATACTTTTACACCTGTTACAGTAATTTAATTTATGTATTATAATTATAATGTGTTTAACCATGTTAACTAACTCATGCATCACATAGTTACAAATACCAGTATTGTTAGTACAAACTAACGCTATACAAAAGTTCAATTAATGTTTTATTTATGCATACATATTATTAATTTTATTAATTATTAATATTACATGTGGCATACAATTAAAAACATCTTATTGTATTCAATAATGTTTATTATTTTACATAAATTAATAATGTTAGTTCGACACATATTTAACTACATTTGTTGTTTTGGTTCCATGTCCTTTGTTAACATAACATAGAATTTTTAATAAAATATTCAATCAGATTATAAAAATCAAACATTTAACATATTGAAATTATATTTTATTAATTTTTCTAAAATATTTATTAATCATACATTTAGATATAATTTTATTGTAATTAAAAATATTTAAAATAATTACAACGTTATTAATTTTTACAATTATCACCTTCATCATAAAAAACATTTTTATCCTCTTCTTGCTTATAACAAAAATTTGCAATAAATTTTGCTCTTGCACCTGCACAGTGAGGCGGGTTATCACGGTCAACTGTATTATGATTTTCACAAGGTTGAAATCCATCTGTTCCATATAATTTATTATGAAGCATTTCGTTATTGGTTGGAGCTCGTGTCTTGTACATGAAATTGATATTAACAGCAAATTGTCCGAACCCTGCAGTCCCAAGATAATGTAAAATTGATGAATCATTAATAAACCCAATCATTTTTCGATCCTCATTATCTTCACATAAATTATATAAAACTTTGATAGTTGATAAAACTTCAATTTGCCTCAAAGCATTTGGAGCTTTTTGTTCGTATTTCATTCCATGGAAAAATTTGGTATAATAATTTGCACTATTTCTATCATCTATACTTAATGATTTAAACTTTTTCGAGGTTTTGAATGGTATTACACCGCATAATTTCCGTGACCAAAAACCAAGTTCCAAAATTTCAAAAACACCATTAACATAAAATCCATTTGCTGTTAATATTAGTCTATTATCAAAATTAAACGCTTTACTGTTAGTTAAAGCCATGTCTTAACTGATACAGAATTTGCAATAATTGTTGTATTTATATAAAATGTGACGTCATACTAAAAATAATTTTAAAAGATATAAAAGCATTTATTGATACATCATTTAAAACAAAATCTTGAAATATGTGTATTAAAATCTGCATACTCATTTTTAATATTTTAACAATTTTCTGTCTAATATATTTTCTTTTTCAATTGAATAAATTTAAAGATAATTTTAAATATCCAATAGATTATACTATTAAAGTATACGATTGTTATAATTTATCTTTTAATTTTAGTTCAATTAATAATTTGAATAATTCATTTTATAATAATTGTTTAAAACTATGAGTGATATTTACCATGATTTAAGGTTTGAACACCCGTCCCGATGGATTATTTATGGTCCGTCTGGTTCTGGAAAAAGCACATTTGTATTTGAATTATTAAAATCTCTAGATAAATTTTTTAAAATTAAATTCAATAGGATAATTTACTGTTGTAATTACTTTAATTTTACTGAAAATATTAATCTCGAAAAAATAAGTGATATTACTGAGGATTTTATAGCAAGTTTAGATGTATCTAAAAATAACTTATTAATTATAGATGACCAAATGAACAAAGTAATAAATAATGAATTAATGAGCGATTTATTTACAAAACTTTCTCATCATTTAAATACAACAATTATGTTCATTTGTCAAAATTTATTCCCAAAGTCTAAATACATGAGAGATATTTCACTAAATACTAACTATATCGTTTTAATGAAGAACAATAACGAAAAATTGCAGATTCGGTTATTAGCCAATAGGATTGAGAGTTTTAATAACTATAAATTAATTGATGCTTATAATGATTCAACAAAGCAACCATTTAGTCATTTATTAATTGATTTATGTCAGACAACAAAAGATATTTTAAAATATAGATCAGACATATTTAACGAAAACTATCAAACGACTTATTTATAAATATATGGATTCAATTGATAAATGTAAAAAAGATTTAATTAAAATTAAAAATTGTAAGTGTAAATAAGCAAAAAAAATTACTTAAAAACTCTAAAAATTGTGTAATCAATGCTATCTCAGAGATAGCAAAAAACTGTTTAATTGGTAACCTTAAATTAAAAAAGTGTCAATTTAATAAATTAAAAAAATATAAAAAAGTTCTTAAAGCTATTTCACAACGGAAACCATTATATAAAAGGAAACGCTTAATAATACAAAAAGGTGGTTTTCTGAATGTATTGATACCCGCTGCATTATTCTTACTTGATAAAATTTTTAATAATGAAAACAAAAATTAATAAAATGAAATTGATACAATATGATGATATAAATTATAAACAAAATCCTAAAAGTTTAAATTACAATAATAATGATTTAATAAATAGCAATATTATTTTAGAAACTTCACCAGAATTAATAAAAGCTAGTGAATTAAATAAATTAATGGAAAATATAGAATCTATTGATTTAAATGAACTAAATAAATATCAAACCTATATTCATTTATTAAGAAACTTTTTATTGTTTAAATCAAAATACAATAAAGAGAATATTAATTCTAGCGATAATTTAAGTAATATTGCCAATAATAATAAAGTACAAATTGATTTGGATGATAATACAAATAGTTCACTGCATACTGTATTAAATACTCCAATGTCATCTACTCCAATGTTTTCAAATTTATCTAACATAAGCACACCAGAGCAAACATCTCATTTAATTCGTGACTCATCTGTTAAAAAAAGTAGAAGTAAAGGGGTTAAGGTAAAAAATAGAATTCAACAATATAATAAAAACGATACAGATTCAGAAGAAAGTAGTTCATCCGATAAAACTTGGGTACCTTATGGTAGTGTTAAAAATGTTAAAAGGCTTAAACCAAAAAAGAAATAAAATTTTTAAAAATATTTATTATAATATAAATGATGTTGGATCATATTCCACATCTAAAAAACTATATGATGAAGCCAAAAAAATTGATAATATCAAATATGCAGATGCTCAAAAATGGTTAAATAGTCAAGAAACATATACATTACATAGAAAGAAATATATTAATTTTAAAAGATCACAGTTTGTGTCAAGTAAAGTAGATAGGTTTTGGGCTTTGGATCTTGCAGATATAAGTAAATATCAAAAATTTAACAATAATTTTAAATACCTATTAATTGTAATTGATGTACTATCTAAATATGGCTGGATAAGAAATTTAAAAAATCTAAATCAATTATAACTGCATTCAATTCAATTTTAAAAACAAAACGTAAACCTCACATACTCATTAGTGACTCAGGATCAGAATTTATCAATAATAATTTTAAAAAATATTTAAAATCTAAAAATATTAAACTATATATAATGCGAAACACTGAAATAAAATCATCAGTTGTTGAAAGGTTCATTCGTACAATTAAAGAAAAAATATTTAGTACATTTTACTAAAACCAAAACATTTTTTGATAAAATTCCAAGTATACTTAAAATTTATAATAATACAGTTCATAGTCGAACCCAATATAAACCTATTGATGTGAATATTAAAAATCAAAAACAAGTGTTTTTAAATTTATTTAAAGAACGAGTTCCTATACAGAAACCTATTTATAAAATTGGTGATAATGTTAGAATTTGAAAATTAAAAAATATTTTTCAAAAAGGTTATTTATCAAATTATACAAATGAAATTTTTATAATAAAATCGATTATCCATTCATTACCAATTCCACGATATATATTAAATGATAGACATAATATTACTTTAATCGGAAGTTTTTATTCACAAGAATTAGTAAAAGTTGAATGATGGATAACGATATTATTGTTACAATTCCTTCTGACTATTCTTCAGATAGTATACAGGATAATACAATTTCAAATTTTAAAGTGGACTATAAAATTCCATTTAAATTATCCGATAATTATGAATGTGGTTTATTAGAAATCATTTACCCAACTAGTGTTAAAAATGTACCTAGTGATGTGAATTTTTATGTTAAGTTGAAATATAATGAACCTAAAAATATTATGGTTTTTGATGTAGGGAAATTTAAATTAGATAGCGGTAATTATTCAAATGTTAAAGATTTATATACAGCACTAAACCATTTAACAACTAATTTATCTGAATTATTAAATGAAAAAATTAAAAAAATGTTTCCTAAATATAATATAAATATTAAAAGTGTTCCCTCATTTAATTTGACTAAAAAACAAATCCAATTATCTTATGGTGAATTGGAAATCCAAGGGGGAGAAATTAGTGCAACATTTACATTATATTTTACGTTTGATCAGTACCTTCATTATATGCTTGGGTTTGAGCAAAAAGATTTACACAAACCCCCTTTACAACCTAGATACTCAATTGATCTCTTTGGGAACAATCATGCATTATTTATTTATTCTAATATAATCAAGGAATCATTTGTGGGTAATCAAAAAAGTCAATTATTAAGAATAATTCCACTACAAAAATCAACCAATGATACAATAGTAATGAAATCGATTTCATTTAATCCAATTGTATTTTATCCGTTAAGAACACATTGCTTTGATTTAATTCAAATACAGATCAGAGACTCAACAGGAAAGTTTGTTTTATTTGATCAAGGCAAAATACTTATAACTTTAATATTTAGAGCCATAAAAAAATGAATTCAAATATAGATTTTAGTAAATATTTTAATTCAAATTATGAAAAATATTATCGTATTCAAGGTGGAAATGGGGATAATTTTGAGGAAATAAGTTTTTATACCGGAAAACCATATCAACGTGGCTATAATTGGTTTACAAGATATAGTCAAAAATATGCAATCCCTTTTTTGAAATATTTAGGAATTAAAACATTTAAATATGGAAAAAATGTATTTGATGATATAATTTCAGGGAAAGACCCTAAAAACGCTTTTAAAAATAATTTAAAAAATACAGCTATTGAAACATTGGATGATACCAAAAAATTATTAAATCAAAGTGGTTCCAGTAGAAGGAAAAGGAAATATAAAAAGAAACCACGCTATAATATGTTGCCGTCAATCTGCTGGATATGTCGTGTAGTGGTCGACCCGTTAAGTCCCGATGTTGTGGGTTAGGTGTGGTTTGGTTTGGGGGTTACTCTCGAGCCTTGGGCAGAGTCACTGGACTCGTTCCGGGGTACTTGGACCCGACTGCGAGAGTACGGACAGGTAAAAACGCTTTTAAAAATAATTTAAAAAATACAGCTATTGAAACATTGGATGATACCAAAAAATTATTAAATCAAAGTGGTTCCAGTAGAAGGAAAAGGAAATATAAAAAGAAACCACGCTATAATAAAAGACTTAAAATTAAAGGGAGAAAAAATAAATTTAAGACCAAAAAAGAGTATAAAAAGAAGAAATCTAACAAGAAACATCACTTCAAACATAAATCATTTAAAAGAATATCTAAAAGAAAACGTTTAAAAAATAAGTCAATATTTGACTAATCATGTCTAGAGAAATATTCAAATCAGAATTGGACTTGTTTAAAAAGAAATTTTTTCAAAGCAGTGTTGAAAAT